CTAGGTCGACTACTTCCAGGGGACTATGAGCATCTCTCAAAAGGTCCTATAATGGTGGTGGGTCACCTGTCCTCTTGATCAAGGAGGACGAGGAGACCCCACCAGATGTACTTGAACCAGTGTCTATAAAAGGGAGGGCCAATACAGAGGAATCATTTCCTCCATGCTTCTAAGCGAAGCCAACCATGGTCAAGCAGGACCTTTGACTTATCTTCACATAGGTGGATCTGGTAAAAGAAAGGAGCCAGGGGCTCCTCCCAAGCCCATGTGACCCCTGAGGAACAGATCCTCAAAGGACCTTAAGAGTAAAAATAAATCAGTTTTATCTGGACCACCTATATGGCCTTAAACACCCAAAAGGAAAGTATAACCAAAGATCAAATGTGCCAACATAATTTCATAAGAGCCCATATGTATAGCTAAAGGCTACATAACAAGCAACAATGCCAGACAAGTGATACCTTCTTTTGAGTTAATGGCCAGGGTGGCCAAAGGGATTCCCAAAACTTTAGTTTTATTAAGGTTTAACAACATCCTCATGCACTGAATTGCTAATTATGAAGAGAAGGATGGTGCATGTACTAATCTTTATAACCTGTTATTATATCTTTCTTTAGTCTACTCTAAAATTATAAGAAAACTACCATCAAGGATATCTACTACCCAAGAAATCAGGTATCTGATGAACAAATTCTGTTACTATAGATATCTTCAAATGCTATATAAATTCTACTTTTAGTTCTAAGGACTAGATTTCTATCAAATAGAATATCTCATAAAAATTGCTAGATTTAGAATGATTCCTTAAAATAATAAATGCTAACATTCATACATACAGAAATATTCTTATTTGTTTGTTCTTTGAGACAGGGTCTCACTATGAACCCCGGGCTTTCCTGGAACTTATGTAGAACAAGCTGGCCTCGAACTTTGTCTCTTGAATTCTGAGATTAAAGATGTGTACTGCCACCATGGGGCCCTCAGAAATGTTCTTATATAAAAGACTCTTCAGCCAGGCGTGGTGGCGCATGCCTTTAATCCCAGCACTTGGGAGGCAGAGGCAGGCGGATCTCTGTGAGTTCAAGGCCAACCTGGTCTACATAGTGAGTTCCAGGACAGCTGGGGCTACAGGGAGACCCTGTCTCAAAAAGACAAAAAATAAAAAACAAAAAATAAAAAAATAAAAGACTCTAAGATGTCAGTGTGTCTAGTCAGGAAGAAGTCCAATTTTGTGTGGAGAAACTAGAAGGCTATCCAAGTTGAAATTCAAAAAGGATTCTAAGTTTAAACCCATTTATTTTACAGTCATTGCAGACTACAGAGCAAACAGTCTTAAACTTCCTTTTAGGTACACGAACTAGTTCTTTAAATGAAAATTAAATGAAATAGCTGGTTTCTCAGGAAGACAGAAATATGCTTCATGCCATACTAGCTTCTCACTAATACAGTTAATAACAATGTAAGTAGAATACAACTGTGTGCTGGCATTTCCACAAGAAAAGCTAAGCAGACTATTTCCCTCTATCCACCAGGCAACAGTGCATTCTAGTGGTCAAAGGACAGCATGATGAGAAATGCCTTTGGTATCTAAAATCAACACATCTAAAATCCAGAAGCTCATCACAAAGTATTACATAAACTGTTGTAGAATTGAGGAAATTTTGCATTCAATGAAGATATAAAAAAGAAAAGACATTACCCAAAAGCTCCAGTCACCACTCCAGTTATGTGAATTCGGTCCCTGTTTTTTAGCTGATACTGTATTATTCTCATCCACAGTAGGGTTAGGATTTTCAGCCTCTTCTTGTAACTCAGTGGCAAGTCTTGAATCCCCTTCATTTATTACCTGCAAATAAATACCAAACAAGTTAAATTATTTTTAAGAGATGTCATTTATTTATTTTTATGTGTATGAGTGTCTTGACTGCATATATATAAATGCACCCATGTCATGCAAAGCCTGTGGAGGCCAAAAGGGGGCATTGGATCCCCTGGAACTGAACAGTTGTCAGCTGCCGTGTGGATGCTAGGAATCGAACCAGTCCACTGGAAGAGCAGCCAGTGCTTTTAACTGCTGAGCCATCTCTCCAGCCCTGAAATGCCCATTTTAAAAGATAGATTTAATGTTCAAACCATATAAATTACTTTTAAAAATACTTTATTTATTTTTTTGCTGGGCATGGTGGTGCACGCCTTTAATCTTAGCACTTGGGAGGCAGAGGCAGGCAGATCTCTGTGAGTTCAAGGCCAGCCTGGTCTACATTGTGAGATCCTGGACAGCTGAGGCTACAGGGAGACCTTGTCTCAAAAAAGACCAAAAAAGAATTTTTTTTTAAATTTTTTTAGGTGTACCTATGTTGTGCAAGGCCCACAGAGGTCAGAAAAGGTTGTCAGATCCCCTAGAACTGGAGTTATAGATAGTTGTTAGTTGCCATGGGTGCTGGGACTCAAACCTGGGTCTGCTAAAAGAGCAGTCATTGCTCTCGACCACTGAACCATCTATCATATATAAATTACATTTTAAAGGTATATTTATTTTGGCCAGGTGTGGTGGTTCATGCCTTTAATTCAAGCACTTGGGAGGCAAAGGCAGGCAGATCTCTGTGAGTTCAAGGCCAGCCTGATCTACATGGTGAGTTCCAGGTCAGCTGGGACTACAGAGAGACCCTGTCTCAAAAGACCAAAAAAGAAATACATTTATTTTGTATAGATGTGTATGTATACACAGGTGCCATGTGTAGGGCAGGGGCCAACTTCCAGGAATTGATTCTCTCCTTCCACCATGTGAGTCCTGGGGATTAAATTCAAGTTGTAAGGCTTGGAGTTATGTGCCTTTGCCCTCTGAATCATTTCACCAGTCCTTCAATTACTTTTTAAAAAGATTTATTCAGAAAAAAAGATTCATTCATTATTTTTTTGCAGGAGCCCACAGAGGCCAGAGGACAGTGTTGGATCCCCTGGAACTAGAGTTACAGGTGGTTGTGAGGTACCATGTGGGTGTTAGGAACCAAACCCTGGTCCTCTGTAAGAGCAGTAAGTGCTTTTAACCACCAAGCCAACTCTCTATCCCTAAATTACTTCTTAAAATTCATCAGCCAGGCACAGTGGCATGTGGGAGACAGAGGCAGGCAGATCTCGCTGAGCTCAAGGCCAACCTAGTCTATATAGCAAGCTCCAGACCAGCCAGGGTACATAGTGAGACCCTGTCTCAAAAAGCAAAACAAAATAAATAATTTTTAAGCTTTCCTTTTTAAAACTGTATTCTTTATTTGTGTGCATATGCAAGCGTGCGTGTGTGCGTGCTTGCGTATGTGTATGGGTGTGTGTGGTGGGGAGGCCTGTGCCACCTGCACAAATTAAAATCAAAGGACAACTTGTAGGAGTAGAGTCTCTCTTTCTACCACGTGGGTCCTGGGGATCGAACTCAGATTGCCAGGCTTGGCAGCCTTTTCCTGCTGAGCCATCTCACTGGTCGTATAAAATAAAATTTTAGTTTTAAAGAAAAATATTTAAACACTTAAAAGAGAGAAATTAGAGGTGGAGAGAAGTCTCATTTGGTAAAGTGCTTCCTGAACAAGCATGAGGACCTGAGTTCAAATCCCTAGTACTCACTTAAAAGTTGGGCATGTGCCTGATGCTAAGGTGGGTAAAAATAGAAGAACTCTAGGGCATAGTGGCCATTCAATCTGGCCTAACTGGTGAGCTCTATATTCAGTGAGAGACCCTGTCTCAACATATGAGGTAGAAAGCAATTGAGGAAAAAACCTGACATTGACCTCTGGCGGACAGACAGAGAGACAGACAGACACAAACACAGACATAGACACAGACACAGACACACACACACACACACACACACACGACAGAAACTGATGTTTTTTGCTTCTACCATTCATCATTTATACATGAAACAAATAAATATCTTTGAACTACTATTTGTTAGGTAGTTTAGTTGGTATTAAGAATACAAAGATAAGTCAACAAAGTCATTAGCCTCCAGAAGTTCACAGTCTACTAGAACAATAAAGAAAGAATAATTTTTTAAAAAACTACAGTGTGTGGGAAATGTCTGGGGACACTGACTTGACACAGTGGGCCTTAACTTCCAGGACAGAGTATATGGATTCCAATGGGGGGGGGGTGCTATGGGAGGGTGATGGTGGGACCGGGGTATAAAAATGATTCAGATGGTTTGAGATAGTCTGTATGAAATACAACAAAATTTAATAAAAATAGACTAAAAAAAAAACCTAGTGTGATAAGAGTTTAACCACTTTGGAGAAATCTCTGCAATGCTCAGTAGGGCTAAAGTTAGGACTATACTACAACCCAGCAACTTAATATACACATGAAGCAAAGGCTATCTGTAATGCCAATGCAGCAGACTTGCCATTTTCCATTGGTAGAAAAGTTAGTAAATAAGCTCTGATTTATGAAAACAATGGAATTAAAATTAATGAAGCCTCTGTCTCAAGCAGGCATTCGCATACACTCTAGAGTACCCAGGGCAATGACTTATATTTTGTGAAGGATATGGGATCATTGGGTAGTTGCTCATGAAAAAGCTATAATTAGAAAGGAGGGAGATGGGAAAAGGGATTGGCAGCAGGCATTAGAAAATGAGAACACGGCTCACCAGGACCAACAAATATCGAATATGGCTGTTGCTGCTGTCACTTTTGCCTCTGATCATCAGGATTACAGGGAAAAGCACGCAGGGCACCAGTGGTGCATAAAAGAAGTTGATCCAACTTAAGATCAGAGTTTTTAAACTCTAGGAAGTAACCACAGATAGTGGGGAAGCCCCTAAGCTTGGTGATACTGATTGGTAGGTCTCTAGAGGAAAAGATTCATAAATTATGAAAGGGTAGAGAAGGCTCCTCCACATGAAATCATGAAATATACCCATTCACTTAAAAGACAAAGAATGAACAAACCTGGTACAGCAGGAGGGAAAAAACAAACTAACAAAATTTGATCTAGTTAGAAATACAATATTTAGTGGCAAGTCCAAGAACACACACACACACACACACACACACACAAAGTAAATAAAACTATTGTCTTGCCTAAATACTTCATGGTCATCCAGGCCCAAGGAATGGTACTACCACACCATTGAGGTTCTTCTCACCTCAATTAATCTAATCCAGATAATCCTTCACAGACATGCCCAGAGGCTTGTCTCTTTGGTGGTTGTCAAGTTGACAGATTCTATATAAACCATTACATCATCAAATACAGACTTTACAGGCAAGATCTTCACTGAGCCAAATCTGGGCTTTCTGACACAACTACTGCCGAAGGGCATGGCCTCACCTGCCCTCATGCCCATGCAGATATCATGATGCTGGAAGAAGTCACTCTCCTTTTGGACCCTCTGTGAACCCAAGGAGCAATTTAGGTTCAACTGAGTGAACAGCAATGGTAGTTTATAGCCTTTATGAACAGCATCAAGCAACACCATTACATGTGATGGAACTCTCTGGAGTACTTGCTTTATTCCTTAACCAGGATGTTCCTGAAAAAGGACAAGACTCAAGGGTTAATACAGTCAGCTGAAACTTCAGGAAGTCCTCTTAACCCCAATACTGAATGTTCTAGCTAACAACTGGCTGCATCTGAACAGTTTACAGATTCTTGGGTCACTGCTCTAGTGTTCACCCTTTGGAGTGAAGAATTTTCAGATACCCTATTTCACTGATACCCAAAGTATAATTCAAGGTCACACATGTGACTATATATACTAAATCCATATAACAAGGCCTCATCACACCTTATCCCCTTCAGAGTTCCAGAAATATCCATAGTAACCAAGGCACTCAATTTATTTTGCAAAATACAATTCCAACAATGTTCTCAGTATAACTTTCACCTTTCTTACTGGCTTCAGGCTTCTGGCCTCAGAGAGCACAGTGGCTTTCTTAAACAAGTTAAATTAATTAAATATGGCTGGGGAGATAGTTCAGTAGGTAAGTGCTTTCCATGCAAACATGAGGACCTGAGTTCACCCCCTAAGTCCCCCCCCAAAAAAAAACCTGGGCATGGTGGCATGTTTATAACCCCAGCTCTGGAGAGGGGAAGACAGGCAAATCCCTGGGACCCCCGGCCACCCAGGCTAGTCTAATATGCAAGCCCCAAGCCAGTGAAAGACTCTGGCTCAAAAAAAAAAAAAAAAGGCAGATGGCACCTGGGAATGACACCTGCGGTTCACCTGTGGCCTCACACATGTACGCATATCTACTCACATGTTCACTTGCACACCCATGCACAAGGAAAGTTCAGTTATATTTAAAATGGCACATTTCAGTCACCCATTGAAGCCTCAGGGGTGAACTGTAATAAGGAAAAGTGATTTCATTTTATGTTTTCCTCCAAACAAATTTTAAGCCTCCCCCTTCCTTCTTCCTCTTCTGGGCAATTTGATAAGCCTGTGCTCTTTCCTATGATGTGGGTGGAATAGTCACACAAGCACCCCTTGCTCAAACACAAACTCTCACTCAGACTGAACTGTGTAATCACACTAAGAACCTGAAGCCACTCTTTACCTTTCCCTTAGGGCCCTTTCTGGCTCTACCCAGAGACTGCAATTACCATTTCATACTGTCATGATTTGAGTGTGCCATCATCAGTACTACATCTGAATCAAATTTGGGGTAGGGTTCAGTTTAGTTTTCTAAGGCAGCTATAATGGACTACTGTGCCTCTTATTAGCTGTGTGTTTCTTGGCAAAGTTACTCAATCTCTGTCTCCTTCACTCTAATATCTAATCAGCCAATAAGCTCACTATCTTATCCTGAAGACCCCAGCTGCCGCAGTTGAATGAATGACTCAGTATCTTGGCTATTTCATAGTAATGTTTTGTAAATCAGCTGAAATCATTCATTCATTCATTTATTCATTCGACAATTATTTGAAAGGCTCTACCCTTCAGTACACTAAAATACCTCTCTGAAAGTAAAATATACAACTAAGTAGTAAAGGCAGAAAGGGCAATATTGAGAAACGCAAGTAACCTGGCAACAAAAGGCTTTCACCCTAAAGACTAATAAGTAACTTTTTCCACTTATCAAAGGAGTAGTAAACAAATGACAAAACTAGTTGAAACTAAAAATTTGGTTGAGAGCCTAGGGATTTAAACTCAGCTCTTTTTACCAAGGGCCGATGGAGAAGGGAATGGGTGAGACTGGAAAGGATGCCTAGACTCATTGGGGCCTGGGGCTGAGACATCTGGACCAGGACGCTTAGAGGACCAAATTCAAGCACTTAAGGCTCCCAGGGAAGCATCCGACACCTCCTAGCTCAACGGGAAAAGGCTCACAGGTGGCACAGGAAATCGTTTCCTTGGTAACAACTTCTCAGATTACTCCAAAGGGCACAGAGGGGAAAACTGCCAGTAAAGCCACCTCCGGGGAGCCTGACCCGCCGAGGCTTACCTGGCGGGCGGTCGAAGCGCCCTCCATAGCAGCGCCCTCCGGCGCGTGCGCGTCCCCGAAAGCCCCCCGCCCGGAAGGGCCATCCAGGCACGCGCCCTGCGCCCCCCTCTGGCCTTGCGTCCCGGCTCTGGCTTCCCCCGCACGTCCGCCAGCCTTCGGAATCCCACCTATAGTCTGCCCGGGTGCCTTACGCCCTCTGGCGGCGATCAAGGACCACTGCCTTTGGTGAACTTAGATGGAAAAGTCAACCACTCCAGTGGGGGTCAACGATGATCTTAACGCCTGACCTCAGACTGCTGTATCTACGTGAAATGCAGAAGGGTGTTTAAGGTGACTGGAACTGTTTAGGGAGAGGAAAAAGTTCTAGAGATATGATGGTTGGTCTCGAAAATGAACGTGCTTAATGTCACTGAACTGTACGCTTAAAAACTAATAAAACAGACCAGGAATGATGACACATACCCATAAATCCAGCACTAGGGAGACAGAAAGATCGTGAGTTGGAGACCAGCCTGGGCTATGTTGCAAGTTCAAGACCAGACTGAGCCAGAGTGAGATCCTGTTTCAAAAAGCAAAGAGGGAAAAAACCCACAAGCAAAATTTTATGTTTCTATTACCCATAATGCAAAAATACAGTCTATAAAAAGTCACTAAGCAAACATCAATAAGTACTAGAAAAAGTAACAGAATTAGCCAGTACATTCTGATTTCAGAGTTGCCACTAATATTTAACAAAATATCAATTTAAAAAAGCGGCATGTATGCTGGATAGCTTCAGTTACTTGACACCTGGGAAGAGCGAACCTCACTTGGGGACTTTCTTCTTGTTTGACCTATTGGCATGTCTGTGAAGCATTTTCTTGATTAGTGAGTGATGTGGGAGGGCCCAATCCACTGCGGGTGGTGGCTACCCCACCCTGCAAGTTGGTACTAGCTTGTATAAGAAAGCAGGCTGAGCACAGGTCCCAGGAGCAAGCCAGTAAGCAACATTCCCTCAAGGTCTGTGCTTCAGCTCCTGCCTCTACATTCCTGCCTTGAGGTCCTGCCCTACTTCCCTCAGAGATGGACTGTGACCTGGGACTTATAAGATGAAATAAACCCTTTCTGCCCTAAGTTGATTTGGGCAGTGTTTTATTATTGCAATAGAAAGTAACTAAGACATCAGCACACACATAATGGAGTTTAAGAAGAGGAAAAATTGTGAAAGACACAAATATATGATCTAAATCTAATTTCATAAAGAAACTATCAGAAAAAATCAGTTTGAGGGTGTTGTGGCTCAAACCTGAAATGTTCCCACATGTTTGGATTTTAAATGCTAGGTCCCAGGATGATGGCATTATTTTGAGGATATACAATCTGTAGGAGGTAAGGCCTGGCTGATAGAGATAGGACATTAGGAGTGAGCCTTTGAAGGTTACACTTACTGCTAGTAAGTTCTGGCTTGCTTTCTCTGCTTCCTGGTCTACTGCCATGTGAATAAAGTCAATAGATTATATATGATCTATATGAGGTTGACCTGTGGACTTGTCTGTGAGGGATTATCTTAACTGAGGTAAATGATGTGGGAAGACCCAGCCCAGTGTGGGCAGCACCATTCCCTAGACAAGGGTCCTGCACTGTTTACAAGTGGAGGGAGTCGACTGCACACAAGCAAGCAAGCATGCAATGCATTCATTCTCTCTGCTCTTGATTGTGGCTGTGATGTGATTAACTGCTTCAGGCTTCTGCTACTGTGACTTCCTACAATGATGGTCTGTAACCTGGAATTATAAGCTAAAATCAATTCTTTCTCCCCCAACTTGCTTTTGTCAGGGTACTTTTATCATAGTAACAGAAATGAAACTAAAAGACAAACTGATATAAGTGTGGTTGTTGCCGGGCTTGGTGGCACATGCCTGTAGTCCCAGCACATAGGAGGCAGAGGCAGGCAGATCTCTGTGAGTTCAAGGCCAGCCTCATCTACATAGTGAGTTCCAGGACAGCTGGGCTACAGGGAGACCCTGTTTCAAAAAGACCAAAAAAAAAAAAGTGTGGCTGTTGTTGTGATAGACCTGACCATATGGCTGTTATGCCATTAACTGTTTCTGTGGGAGGAATGTGGCATTTGGTTTTGAACACTGTAAGCGGAGCTTAATGGGCCATTTTAGTGAGAGCTTAGGAAAATGCTGAGAAAAATACAGACAGTTGAGATCTGGGTCATGGGGATTTAGACAAAAAAGTCTATCAGGAACAAGGAGCAAGGTAGATGAGCACGCATGCAAGTGTACAGCAGCAATGATGAATGTCTTGAGTTCCTAGCTAGAGGCAGCACAAAAGGCTTAAGAATGTGAAGGACAATGGAAAACGTTAGGATGAAAGGTTTTTAACATCGAATTGGTGTTGAAAGATATATGATAATAGAAGTGATGAACTGGAAAAAGACATAGTGCTTAAAATTGAGATTGTGAACACATTGTGGTAATAATGTTAAGAGAATAAGAGTGGGAGGCTGGCAAGAGAGGCAACGTAGGATCACTGAGGGAGAAGGGAAAGAAGCAACTAGGAATTGGAAGTATGATCTTAGTTAACTAAAAGAATAAAAAGAGTAGCATAGAGGAAGATGACCGCGAGAAAGGAATAAATTTTTATTTTATGTGTATAAGTGTTTTGCATGCATGTATGTAAGTGTACCTGTGTCACACAGTGCCCACAGAGGTCAGAAGAGGGCATTAGATCCCCCTGGAACTAGAGTTACAGTTGTTAGCTACCTTGTGGGTGCTGGGAACTGAACCCAGGGCAACCAGTGCTCTTAACCACTGAGCTACCTCTCCAGCCCCAGGTACAAAATTTTTCAATACAAAAAAAGAACCTCAGCCAGGCATGGTGCCACATGCTTGTGATCCTAGCACTCAGGAGGTAAAGTTAGGAACACAAGGTCAGCTTCAGCTGGTACTTGCTACATAGTCTGAGGTCAGCCCAACTACATGAGACCCTATCTCAAAACCACCCCTAAACAAAAAAGCATGAACTATGAGCTAGTAGATGACTACAATAGAATTCAGAGGTGCAGTTTTCTGACACGAATTTCAAACCTGTGGTTTTAAGGAAAAATGAAGAAGTCTATGAAAATAGAAAAAAAATGGCAACCACTTTTTCCCTAGGCTCAGTGGTGTTTGGGTTAATATTACTGCGTGAAAAATCACCCAAAACCATAGTATGTGAAAATGAGAATAATCATTCACTGTCTCTGGCAATTCTCATGGGTCAAGAATATGGAAACAGCCCAGGTGGACATTTCGTTCGATATCTCTCATTAGATTGCTTTAGGTAGTCATGTGGGACTCCAGTCATCAGAAGGCCTGGCTGAGGCTGGAGGGTCTACTTTCAAGGAGACTCACATGGCTAGTAGTTTGGTTCTGACTATCCATTTGCAACTTCAGTTCCTCTCCACCAGGGCTTCTCAGCATGGCAGCTTGAGTTTTCATGGCATGTCAGTGTCTTTCCTCAGAACATGTGAGCCAAGAGAGCAAGATGACAGCTATAATGCTTTCTATGACCTAACCTTAGAAGCTGCACATGGTCACACTGCATTCTATTGGGGTCAGTCAGTCAGTTCTGCTTCACTAAGGGAGGCAATTATACAGGGCATAAATACAGCTACCTCAGTGATATTAAGGAGAAAACAACCTGAGCAGTTTTCAGAAAATACCAACATCCTCAGGGAAATGCCATGTTAAGGGACTTGAGAGAATTTTCACAGAAAATACAGAAAACTTAGGATAAAAGGGATTTTGTTGATGTCTGATCTTGAGTTCCATCAAACACCAGTGAAAGAATTTGGGAGTTGGGGGGCAGAGCTGGGGGTGAAGATATGAGTTGAGAGATCACCTGAGCACTGCCAGGATCACATATCATCCTGGGGCCTCCTATTTAGCCTACCCTACAGAGGCCCACAAGCCAGGCTAACGATGGTATGATATATGCCACAATTTGACTCTTTACTAAATGTCCCAGTTTGCTTCTCTGTTGCTGTGATAGCATACTGACCAAAATCAACAGGGAGGAAAGAGTTTGTTTTACCTTACAAGTCACAGTCCATCATCAAGGGAAGCCAAGGCAGGAACAAAAGCAGAGACCATGGAGGAATGCTGCTTACTGGTTTGCTTCCCCTGGCCTACTCAGCTACCTTTCTTATATGGTCCAGGCCCACCTGCCTAGAGATGGCACTGTCCTCAGTGGGCTGGGCCCTCCTACAATAATTAGCAATAAAGAAAATGTCTCACAGATGTGGAGAGCCACAGCCTCCGCCGCCATTACAAGATGGCGCCGGTATCCGGACCTTCTTAAAAGTAAACATCCTGCCACACCCATAAGGGGCGTGCACAAGAGCCTGCTTTCCCTCGCCTCCTCCCGTGACGTGATCTCCAGCAACCAATCCGCTTCTTATGATCTCCAGCAACCAATCCGCTTCATATACGTCACAAATGGGACCTTTGGGGCGTATATAAGCAACAGCTCTCCCACTTCTCGGGGTCTTTGGTCTTCAGTCTTCAAATAAACTGCTGCAGAAGGATCCTGATTTGTCCTCCCGCGTCGTTCTTGCTGGCGAGACGGAAAGCGGTCGGGGACATATAGGCACATGAGTAAGCCATTAATATGAGAACTCTCCAGGTCTTTGACACAGGGATCTAGGCACTTAGTGCTCTAAACTTTCCTCTGAGGACTGTCTTTATTTGTCCCGTTTATTTTGGTATATTGTGTTTTCATTTTCATTCAATTCTAGGAAATTTAAATTTGCTTCTTGATTTCTCCCTTGACCCAATGTTCACTCAGGGGTGTGTTGTTTAATTTTCATGAATTTGTGTAATTTCCCCATGTCTATTGTAAT